ATTGCTGGGAGAGAAAGAAGACCAGCTTTGGCCAGACCTGTCTTTCCAGGTCTTGAAAGCTCATTGCTGGAAGATTCTGAGCAGCTGTTTTCTTGGACGGAGATAAGGGAATCAGGTAGGGCTAGCCGTTTGAAACGGAAGGGCAAACCAATGTTTCTCTTCCCCCCTCCCCCCCCCATCGAGTTGCACAGTCGAGTCATTGTGCCGGATACTGTGGGCCTGGCACATGTTCCTCGGTCGCAGGTCAGAGGTCAACGTCCAGGGTGTTTCCAAAGCCGGCCACTTCAAGAGCTCGAGCCTTCAACACTTATCCAAACTGATTAACTACATGATCAACAGTGTCCACGGAAATGAAGCGGGCTCACCTCTCTCGCCATTGGGAGCAATGGCCAGAGCCCCAGGGAGACCGGGTTCAAAGTGTGTGTGTGTGTGTGTGTAAGAGACAGAAACAGAGAGAGGCTCACTTTAGGGCATTCCTTTTAAGACTTGCAAGAGCCAAAACTCTGTACTCGCCCTGCGAAAGAAAGAAAGAAAGAAAGAAAGAAAGAAAGAAAGAAAGAAAGAAAGAAAGAAAGAAAGAAAGAAAGAGGGGAGGGGGAGGCTAGGGATTTGGAAGGGATGGTGGCGTCATTTTGAGAAGTGAAATAGAGCAGGTTCGTAGACTCGCTTGAGTCAAAGGAGTAAGGATGGGGGGGGGGGTCTTGCAGCCTGGGCTTAAGAAAAGCTCTCGATCGAGGTGGGGGTGGAGGGTTCCATTGTGAAAAGCTACAAAGTCTTGGCCACTAGACCTTTACCCACAGACGGGGTTAACCCCTTCGTTACCGCCACAGGCAGAGCAAGCGAGCGAAAGCAGGAATCTGGTGCAGAATTTTGGAGGCGAAGGACTGTAGCCGGACCGGTCGCTACTCGCCGTTCATCTCAGCTCCAGGACAAAACTAAGTGGGGTGGAGGGGGGCGACGGAGAAAGACAGCTTTGGTGGAATTGCACCAGGGAACAACTCCTAAACACTGCCGTTTAGGATTTGAACATTCCCGCCTCCCCCCAACCCCGGGCTTCCCGCTTCTCAGGGGGCCCCGCAGCCCTCTTCTCCTCGGTCCTGGTTTCTCCGCCTGCCCTCCCGTAGGCGGGCCGGCCTTCCTTGGAAATCAAAAGTGGGTCTCCTGTCCCAGCAGCCGCGGGGAAACGCCAGGAGTCCCCAGCCCTTCTGCTCTGGCCCGGAGGACCTTCGAGGCGGCGAAGGGAAACCCTGCGCCCTCCGGGCTGCCGGCGCCTGAGCTTCCTGGCCTCCCGACAGCCTCTCCGGGAGGAATGGGTGCCAAGCCCTCCCCCACGTGTCCGAGAAGGTGCCAAGGCACTTCCGCGAGGTGGGGTAGAGGTTTCTCAGCTTTCTCCCTGCACACGCCGAGCCCCCTGGAGGTGGCAGGTTGCTCCGCCGCTCGGCCTGACTGGGGCTGAAGGGGAGCCGCGTTTCGCGTCACTTACCCCAGGCCACCTGTTGCAGCAGAGGTCCCCTCCTTTCTGCCTAGCATGACAGAAGAACCGGCCGGAAAAAAAGAATAACAGAAGAGGGGGGAGGGAGGAGAGGAGAGGAGAGGTTGGGGGTCCAGGGTGGGCAGCGGGTGGATCAAACGAAACTAAAACACCTCTTTAGCGACTCCATCGAGGCGGTCATCCTTCATTTCTCCCTTTCCCCTGCTTTGTGGGAGCAGTTGGGGAATGTATGATGGAGCAGAAAGGAACCGCCAGGATGATATTTTAATGGCTTATATGTCACGTTGGTGCGTGTGGCTTTGAACTGGAGCCGCGCTCGTTTCCTGCAGAGAGCGTGCCGCAAATCCCACTTGATAACTTCTGCAACCCACAACACTTGCACACACACACACACACACGCAGGCGCGCGCACACACACAAGCAGAGAGACTCCTATTTGACCGTCCTCCTTAAATCGCTCAGACGACACATTTCCACGATTAAGAAGTCTTCGGGAGAGGAGGGTGGTGCTGTGTACTTTGGAGAGACCCCTGCACTAGCTTTTGGCAACCTCCACGGATCCAGGGATCTTTGTAGGTTTCGCTGAGACCCCACAATGTCCGTTTCCCTTCTCTCCCGCTCAGACAGAAGCTCGCCTCTCCGGCAGCACATGCCAGCCCAGATGCATTTCTTATCCAGAGGCGAGTCTTCCAGACCTGTTGCACGACGGCTTTGCATCTTAAGATGTCTGCCAGTCTTTTTTTCTCCCCCCCACCTCTCCCAGCTCCGGGTTCGTGGTAAGAAACTAGGAGGCCGGGCTGTGTCCACCTATAAGGCTTCCCTCGCACTGCCCCGAAAACCCTCGTTTTTCTCCCTTGAATCTGCGGGCAAATCTAGGCTGCAGCGTTGCGCTGACGGAGGGACCGCAAAAGGGGTGTGTGTGTTAAGACCGGGGCGCCAGGTTTCAGGTCTCTCTAATCCCTTAAAATGAGTATGAAATATTATTTCTTGCAACATCTCTGCCAAGAGGATTGTTTCCTACCCCCTATACATAGGCAACAAGAGTAATCGGGGTTTTGTTGGTTTCTTTTGTGATGGTGGGGGCGGGTGGGACAGTAAGGAATCACTTAAAGATCTGGACAAAGGTTCAGACCCCGAAGGATTCTGACCTGGTTAGCTTTTCTCGCCACTTTCTCTTTTCTTTGGGGGGGGGTGTCTTCCCCTGCCTCTTGAAACTAGAAAACAAGTGACTGGATCAGATTTTAAAACCTATATTTTCAGTAAGACGCAACCTCATTTCCACCACCCTTTCCCTCAACACTCGGGCATCGTTGGGAACCCCCGTTCGAATGTTGCTTTGCTTAATTGATTTGAGTCGCAAAGATTGTCTCCTTTTACTTCTACATCTCGACCATCATTTTAATATATAGTCAATGGTTCTTTGTAGCGGGGACAAAGGAGAACTATCCGCAGTTTTTCAATAGGCTCGAGTTGGGGAAAGGCAGGTTAATCGAGGGGTTGCATCTAGAAAACAAGCAAGTGTTGTATGTTTGCACTGAATCCAAATGTCTGCATTTTCCTAACTAAATCAAAGGGAGTGTTATTTCTTTTTCTGCTCACTCATCTGAAGGTAAGTAAATTTTCTCTGGCGATCACAAGCCTGGTCAGGCAACAAAGGCGCCGCCTGCTTTTTCCAACGTCCTGGAGTGGCAAGTTGAGGAATTTCAATAAATGTGACAAGGGTGACTGATTTGTGAACTAGAAAATGGTTGAGCGCCCGAAAATTTATATTGCTCCTATCTAGCGAGGATTTCAAATACATTCCCAAACCCCAGGATCTGAGAGGTCCATGCAGCCGAGAGACAAAAGCAACTTTAGGGAAATTTACAGGGTATTTTTTTTCCTACCTGAATTAAAGAGATCTCGTAAAAAGGGGGGGAGGAGAAAAGAAGAAACAAAGTGAGGGCGGAGGGAGAGACAACATCAACAGGACACACAAAAAAGGAGAAAGTCAAGCGCTCTCACCCACCTGCCTTTTGATGGGTGCTAGAATTTTTTTTTTCAGAGAAAAAAATGGGAAAGAGAGAAAGAGAGAGATGGACGGTTACGGTCGCTTTCCCACAGAAATCACGCTGTCGTTTGCAAGCGAGGCTCTAATGGAAGCCGCATGTGCGTTTTGGAGAGCCTTCGCCCGAGGGACCAGGAGGGAAGCGGCCCGGCGCACAAGGACCAAGTCACAACAGGACTTCCTTGGTCCAGCCCCTGAAAAGTTGCTCTGTGTTGCTCAAAGGTCTCAGCCGCCAGGATCTCACCACCACCGTCCTAAACCAGAAGTCAAAACAGAGGGACGGACACCGCCTCGACCTCTTTCTCTGGCTCCAGGCACGAGGTCGAAGCCAAGAATCGCTTTAGTCACATTTTCAAAATGAGGGGGGGGGGAGAGAAAGCACCCCCTCCCAACGACATCACCGCTATGTCTTTTATTTGTTAAGGTATAGGCTATAGCTAGATGTATATCTAAAAGTTGCTAGTCCTGGACGAGCCTGTTTGTCAAACGCGATGTCAATGCGCTTCACAATACCTGGGATTGATGAGCGGCGCTGGCCAATCAGGAGAGGCGCGAGGTTTTGCTCACCCTTCGTCGGCGAGGAAGGAGGGAGCTGCGAGCGCAAGTGGGAGCTGGCGGGCACCAATGATCGGAGACGTCGGCCTCCACGTCGCTCCTCCCCCTTCTCCCATTCATCAAGGGGGGGACGGTGTCGTCTTTTCAATTCATTTATCTGCAGGAATGATTGCCGCTATCAGTCTCGCGTTCACCGCCCGGCTGAGGAGGTGAAAGTTTCTCCCCAGGAAGATAAACCGCAAAAGACAATATTGTGCATGATTTGCGCCGGGTTTTTTTTTTCCAAAGCAGGGCAAAAAGCGAGAGAGAGAGAGAGAAAGTGAAGAGGAAAAAAAGCTAAAGGAGGGGGGAAAAGAGACGGAAGGAGAAAAGAGCGCAAGAGCTGGAAGAGAAGAGAAAACCGCTTGCTCGGTCGCCGCATTCCTCTAGCCTCTTTTGTATAGATATATATGTGTATATGCAGATGTATACATATATAGCTATATAAATCCCGCGCTGAAGGAAGTTTAATTTGGGGCTGTGCCTTTCCCCCCTTTTCCTCCCGCGATGTGCCTGTTTCTCCCTTTCGCCTCCCCATTGTTATTTGCAAGCGGGGTCTTTTGAATTCCCTCCCTCCTCCCCACCGAAACCCCCCGGAAAGTGCAGTCCGAGAGGCAAGCGAGGGAGGGGGGCGACCGGGGCTCTCTTTCGCTCTCTCTCTCTGGCTCGCTCTCTTTTTGTGTGCGCCGATGTCTCTTTTCTTTTCCTCCGATTTTCTCTGCTTCTAGATTTCTTTTCTCTCTCCCCACCCCTCCTCGCTCGACTCCAACCTCCCCGCGACCCTCGCCCGCCCATCTCGGGTTTTGGTGGTGGGTTGTGGGTTGGTTTTTTTTTTTTTTTTTTTTTGGCTTTTCTGGTTTCGGTGCGCGGATGTCGAGGGGGAGTTCCTGATGTGGTCGCCTTAGCGGGGCTGGACGCGGACTCTTCGCACGCGAGAGGCACAGAGAGGCTGCTGGGCTCGGCGGCGGCGCCGGCTCTTCCTGGCCGGCTCCTCGGCTCTCGCCTGCAGTTCGGCGGCGGCGGCAGCGCTGCTGCTGTTGCTTCGTCCCCCAGCCTCGCCTGCCTCGCCTTGCCTTGCCTGCGGCGACCCGGCGGCCCTCCTTCTCTCCGCGGGACTTTCGGCTCTCCTCCGTCCTTCGTGTGACTCGCTCTTGCCGGGCGGTCGGCGCCGCCGAAGATGCTGCTGGACGCGGGACCGCAGTACCCGGCCATCGGCGTGACGACCTTCGGCTCCTCTCGCCACCACTCCACGGGCGACGTGTCGGAGCGCGAGGTGGGGCTGGGCATCAACCCGTTCGCCGACGCCGGCATGGGCGCCTTCAAGCTGAACCCCAGCAGCCACGAGCTGGCCTCGGCCGGCCAGACCGCCTTCACCTCGCAGGCCCCGGGCTACGCGGCCGCCGCCGCTCTGGGCCACCACCACCACCACCCGGGCCACGTCGGCTCCTACTCCAGCGCCGCCGCCTTCAACTCCACGCGGGACTTCCTCTTCCGCAACCGGGGCTTCGGCGAGGCGGCGGCGGCCAGCGCCCAGCACAGCCTCTTCGCCTCGGCGGCGGCCGGCGGCTTCGGGGGCCCCCACGGGCACGGCGAGGCCGCCTGCCACCTCCTCTTCCCGGGCCTCCACGAGCAAGCCGCCGGCCACGCCTCGCCCAATGTGGTCAACGGGCAGATGCGCCTGGGCTTCTCGGGAGACATGTACGGCCGGCCGGAGCAGTACGGCCAGGTGACCAGCCCGCGCTCCGAGCACTACGCCTCGCCCCAGCTCCACGGCTACGGCCACATGAACATGAACATGGCAGCCCACCACGGGGCGGGGGCCTTCTTCCGCTACATGCGCCAGCCCATCAAGCAGGAGCTCATCTGCAAGTGGATCGAGCCCGAGCAGCTGGCCAACCCCAAGAAGTCCTGCAACAAAACTTTCAGCACCATGCACGAGCTGGTGACTCACGTCACGGTGGAGCACGTCGGCGGGCCCGAGCAGTCCAACCACATCTGCTTCTGGGAAGAGTGTCCCCGCGAGGGGAAGCCTTTCAAGGCCAAATACAAACTGGTCAACCACATCCGAGTCCACACCGGCGAGAAGCCCTTTCCCTGCCCGTTCCCGGGATGCGGGAAAGTCTTCGCGCGCTCCGAGAATCTCAAGATCCACAAAAGGACGCACACAGGTATGTCCCCGGACCGAAACGGAGCCGGCCCGCCGGCCCGGTCGCCTGCGGGGGTCCCTCTCCCTCCAAGAAGTCAGCCCCAAATAAATTTAAGAGTGGGGGGAAGGGTGGGCGCCCGAGAGTGGGATTTTCCCAGTAATAAAGGGAGGACACCGTTCAGTCGGCCGGGGAGTTTCATTTTCAGAGATGTGTGCCGTAGAGCTCGAATTATTTTTCCTCTCTCTCTTTATTTAAATGGATGGGGGGGGGGGGATTATACATTTTGGGCAGGCATCAACCAGCCTAGAAAGAAGGGAGTCGGGGCAGGAAATAGAAAGATGGCAGCGATGTGAATTGTTAAAATTTATTGGTTTTAATTAATTAGTAGTCGAGGGTCCTGACTGTCTTGGGGTGAGAAATCCTGCTAAATATATGGCTGACGAGACCCAGCTTTCTCAGCTCTCATTTTCCCCCTCCCTCTGTAAATATTTAATTATGTGGCGCAATTGTAAGTAATCTGAGCTGTACGGTTTTATCTGTTATTACACGGTAACACAGGGGCTGGGATCGCTGAAATCTCCTGTAAATCACCAACGCCTCGTCCTTTCCACCACCACCACCCCCTCTCTCTTTTTAAACTGTCGTTTGTTTATCTAAGAATCCGGAGCGGTAGCTATTATGATTTGAGTAGCTTAGTCAGAGCTATATAATGCGCTGGAAGTTTAACAACGGTACAGTCGCAGAAGGATATATGGACGCTGCATATTAAATAAGTGGGGGGGGGAGAGGCGATAAAATAACATTTGATTTAGCCATAAACGCGGCAACTGAACCCCAGAGGCTTTGTGTTGTTTTTTTTTTTAAAAAAACCCTATTTGCCAGACGTCCCTTTGCTGATAAAAAATGCAGCTAGTAAAAATGAAGGCGGGGAAAGAAAAGAAGAAAGAGAGAGAGAGAGAAAGAAAGAAAGAAAGAAATAATTTTCTAGGCTCTGTTTTTTTAGTGTACGCAGGAAGCTATAGTTGGATGTTCTGACAGACCAGTATGCTTTCTTGGTATAATTTAAGAGCAGTAAAAATATCCGCCCGAATTCGACTTTGTTTGCTTCTCCCTCAGGTGAAAAGCCCTTTAAGTGCGAATTTGAGGGCTGTGACCGGCGCTTCGCCAACAGCAGCGACCGCAAAAAGCACATGCACGTCCACACTTCTGACAAGCCTTATCTCTGCAAAATGTGCGACAAGTCCTACACGCACCCGAGCTCCCTCCGCAAACACATGAAGGTAAACGCACTTCCGGAGGCGCCGGGAGCTCCGCGGCCCGCTTGGCCTTCGCCTCGCCTGTTCCCCCAGCCGCTCGGATAAGGCGCCGCTGTTTACGTGGTGGGAGTCGGGGGTGGGCTGGGGGAGAGAGGGGGGGGTTATTCAACAGAAGCGACTGGAGGCTGCAGACAGGAAACGGGAAGACTTTGGCCCGCATTGTGTTTTGCTCTTCTGAAAAGGGACTTCAAGGAGGGGGATGTTTACGTGGCTCGCCCGCTTCGGGAGCTGCGTGGCCGGACGCTGGGAGCGGAGCCCTTGCGCTCTCGTGACTTGTCTCCAGCCGGGCTCCTTGAGGGCGACGCAGGGCTCCAGGGGAAGGATTTCGAGGAAAGACACCAAGCGGGAGGAGGAGGGGGGGGCGAAAGGGGAAGCGGGCAGACGTGCAAACTCGCGGTTTGTGCTGCAAGCGTTGCTCCGGCGGATCTGGCGGGCCTTTTGTGCCTCCCGGGGCCCTGTTCCCTCTCCTGGCGCGGCAAGTGAGAAGAGAACGGGCTCTTTCGGCGGAGAGGCCAGAGCCGGAGGTTTATCCGACAGGAGCCGCCGGCCCAGCAGCCTGATTAGCGAGGCCGGATTTCCCACTTCACGTGCCTGCTGCACACACACACACACACACACACACACACACACACACACACCCGCCCGCCGTCGCCGCCATCGCCAGTGGCCTGTAGAGTTCAGCCCGTCAAGCGAGCTCCGTGGGTTAGCCATGCGGGTGACCCCGGGCGTGTAGATTTCTCTGTTTGCATAGCTGTAGATCTCTGTCGGAGGAAGCTTGTTGTGCGCGGGCTCTGCGCCCCTGGGGCCGCGGCTGCGTGCACGTCCACGCCCCGACACACGGCCTTTCCCTTCCTGTGATCTCTTTCGCTGTCTTCCAGGTCCACGAGTCGTCCTCCCAGGGATCCCAGCCTTCTCCCGCGGCCAGTTCGGGTTACGAATCTTCTACCCCTCCAACAATCGTTTCTCCATCGACAGAAAACCAAACCACCAGCTCCTTATCCCCTTCGTCGTCAGCAGTCCATCACACGTCCAGCCACAGCACGCTCACGTCAAATTTTAACGAATGGTACGTTTAAACAAAACGAACGCACGAACGCAAATCCAACCTATTTAAAAAAAGACTCCAAAAATTAATGAACACTTTGAAGTCGATTTATTATTTTTGTTGGCTTGGTTTGGGTGCTTTGCTTTTCTTTTCAAAAAATGCTGCCAGTAGACCCAGGACCGAATCAAATCAAGCACTGAGGTCTGGTTTCTTTTTGTTTCCTTTCCCGGTGCTGCCTTCCATTTCTGTTGCTTTGCTTTGGGTTTCGCCGCGTTTGGGTCGAAAGGCTTGGAAAGGGTTTGGTGGGGCGCCTGAGAAGAGCAGGGTCCCCGGGCCGTCTGGGCCAGCGTGGCAGGGCTTTTGGAAGGAAACCACTGACTGGGATTCTCGAAGTGCAGGTCTTTCTGGGCAGCGGCCCTGGTTGCTGGTTCTTTTCTTTCCCCCCCTTCCTTCCTTCCTTCCTTTCTGTAAATACAGAAATATTAGCTTACAATGTACTGTTTGATTTTGTAAATAGTCATACCACAAGTTGAATAAGGGGATATGTGGAATTGTGGTCTTTGCATATATGTGGGGGGAGGGGAATAGGGGAAGGGAGGGGGAGGAGGTGGAAGGGGGGGCAAAGGAGGGAGGAGTTAGTAAATCAACTATTTGTACTGAATGGCAAGGATGTTCTAGTAAATGTGTACCAAAATGTGAATTACTTTGTATTATTACAGTCTAAACGTCGATCTAACAAGGATATTATTATTGGTATTAATGTGCTTTTTCTTTTGTATAAAGTGCAAACATTTCGTCGCCAAGTCCAGTCTAAGTAGTGCAGTAAAATGTTGTTACATGTCCTGTCAAGAAATTCGTATAGTGCAAGCCTGGATCTGCGTGTCAAACTGTTACATTTGTTTATGTAAAGTGATATTAAAAAAAAAGCTATAAACTATAACCTGTCCGTTGCTTTTGGCAAATACAACCACATACTGTATATACTTCCTAATTTTCCATATTTATCCGCATGTAAAGGTCCGGTTATACATGTTACAGATATTCAGTATTTATGGATAGAAGAATTGGTATGTACAATTTAGTTTACAGAACTGTTTGGTAACATTTCGTACCTTATTAAAGATTCTGAAATCCCAGAATGCTGTGGTAGGAATCCTTATTGTGACTCAGCCTGGTGCTGCGACTGAGCCAGGGTTTAGGACAGGGAGCTCAGGACTGGGCCCAGGAAGCCTCCCCCACCCCGCCACCGGCCTCCCTGTAGGTCGTCTCCAAAGCAGCCACCTTAATTTTCTCGAACGTGTCTCTGCTGGCTTTAGGTTAAGAGTGATACGGTGATTCGTATTTGTATATTTTAAAGTTTGGGACCGAAATATAATTCAGACGATGGAATAATAATAATAATAATAATAATAATAATAATAATAATAATAATAATAATAATAGCACGAGAGCCATAGATGCTAGGTGCCCCATGGATGTCAATAGTGCAGATCCCCCCCCAGGAGGTGTATCTTGGAGTGGGACAATTTCTTAAAATTGAACATGTTTTTTTGCTATCGGTAGTAATGGTTGCGATAACTTAGGTCAGGACTTTGTGTGTGTGTGGTTTTGTTTTGTAAATGGAGAGGCTTTAGCTCCAACTTCTTTTAAGCCATTTTATCTCTGCCAGACCTCCTTCTCCTCCTCTCTGCCCGCCCCAATTCCATATTCCTAAAAACGCCCCGTTGTTATTCTTCCCAACCTGATGTTGGTTTAAATCAATCCTGTCCTACGTTACGGTCGTTGTTATTATAATTTCTATGGTTTTGCCGACGTTAATAGTCCACCCCCCCCACTCCACCATCAACAAAATGAAGTAATCCAGGGAGGGAGGGGTAGGAGTTGATGTCGTTTGATTATCTCTTTTATTTTTCCCCCCATTTACTTAAGAAATTCGTTCCATTGGCTGGCGGTGATACAGTAAATTTGTAAATGAGAAGACGATATATATATATAAAAATCTAAATTACTTGTGCTTAATGACTGTGGCAGAACGCCTTTTTCTCTAAATCAGATTGTCTCCCTTGCAGTTTAGTTTGATAGATTTGCAAGCTGCGGTGCTTCCGTTAACTTCGCGCAGGCTCGCAGGAACCGCTGGGCTTTGTTCCTCGGCGTAGCTTGCATGACCGCCCCATTAAGCAGACAACATATCAACAGACAACACAGATCATGAGCTGGGCGAGAGAAAGCGCGCTCGCTCTCTGTTCGGGAGATGATGTCACCGGGTGAAAGGCACCTGCCCACCTTCTCCTGGAGCGAGATGGCCTTCTTCGACAAGCTTCTTTAAAACCTATCTCTAGATGAGAGAGACTGAGACAGGGAGAGGGAGAAGAGGGCGTTTGTGTGAAGTATTTAGCAGCGCTCTGCCAATATTAAGGGCAAAGAGGATTTGGAAGAGGAGGGGAAAGTCTGTACTTTGGGTTCACGAACTACCTATTCTTTCCAGCGTTGTCCAAGAACTGGGCACAGCAAATCACTGCACGGTGGCACCATGTATACTGTCCTGGAGATAGTAAACATAGTCGGGGGCGGGGGTGGGCCTTTTGAGCTTCCCTAGGCCTGCCTCGATCTGAAGACAGGAAGGAGGGCAGGAGGCTGGTTCGAATGGATTTTCCTCCAGCCGCAAAGGAACCGTCCGAAATGGTCGAGTTAGTTCTTTTCTCCCTTTCTTTTCCTTAAAAAAACAAACAAAAAACTTCACTTTCTAGAAATTGTTATTCTGTCGAGCAGCTCCCTTTCCCCCGCGCTTTCCGTGCAAAGAGCGCCACCTTGCAGGGCTTGTAGCTACTGAAAAGAAAGTTGGAGAGAAAACCCATAGAAGCAGGGACGCTTCCCCGGGAGCAGCCGCCGCCGAAAGCCACGGCGACCACTGAAGCCCAAGGAAACGGCCAAGCTTGAGGCCTGAGCCGTAGGGGTGATGGGCTTGGGGCGTCCCGGTCCGAAACGTCAGCCTCCCCCGGCCTCCCCTCCTCCCCCCTTTCGCAACAGAGTTCGGAGAAGCAGGAGGAAGTCGAGGAGCTCGAGGTGGACTTCAAGCCATGAATATCGTAGGCGCCGGGAGATAAAGCGTTTTTCGGATAGTCCGGCTTCCTTCTCTTAAAAAATTCCCTAAGCAGGTCTCGAAATGTGCCAGTATCTCTAACGTCGTGTTTTGCTGATGTGAAAAAAACCGTGCTGTAGAACTATTATTATTTTTATTATTTTAACAGCAATACAAATAATTGGTCTCTTGAAACAACCAGTTCGGTGACACATATCAGAAAGCCATGCTAGAAATAAAAGCGTGTCTTCTTTGTTACAGTTTATCCAGATTTGAACAGGGTTTTTTAAAATATTACCAGGCGACCCTTTTGAGAGAGAGAGAGAGAGAGAGAGAGAGAGAGAGAGAGAGAGAGAGAGAGAGAGAGAGAGGGGGGGGATTCTAGTCTCTCTCGGATCTCGATCTTCCTTTACTGTAGGAATCAATACCTGGCGAAGATCATTATTTATTTTTTAATTTTTTAAAAAAGGGGAAAAAGGCTTGACGGGGGAGGCTTGTGAAGGCGAGAGGTTGCATGCGATGACCGTTGAAACTTGGGCGCTCTCTGTCCCTGCGCGGGTGCTTGGACGGTCTGCTGGGTGAGATGTATCTTTCATACTTTCCTTCGTGGGAGAGGAGATTTGGGAAGATGCTGCGAAGGCCGGTGGAGAAATAGGAATCGCTGGCGCTGAGACAAGGCGGCGAGGCGGGCCGGCGGGGTGGGCAGAGCCGAGGCGAGGCGAGCCGAGCGGGTTGCGCCGACGAGGAGGACGGCGCCTGAAGCTCGGCCGAGGTGGCTTCTGCTCTGTCCTCTCGTAAAGGGCAGCGGGTTCCTCGAGGCCCGCCCGGAGCCCTGGAAGGCCAGCCCGAAGCCCGGTCTGGAAGTGGCCAGAGGGCTGCGGGAGCGCCTCCCCACACCTGGCCCACGGGGCGCCCGAGTTGCCCTTGGCCCAGGCGTCCTTCGACAGCCCACCGATCGAGGGTGTCTTCACAGAACTGGACAGTGTCTTCTCCAAAGAGACACTATTTTTTTTAAAAAAAATATTTTTTTTTAAAGAGAGAGAGCATTTGTCGCGGGGGCAGCCCTTTCGAGCATATTTACTTAGAAGCAAGTCCAATTGAAACCGCGAGGATGTACGTCTGAGTAAGCATGTCTAAGCTACAAATGAGCATTTCGAGACAGTCGCGATGGAAATCAATGTGAGGAAGCTGACTGGAAATTTCTTCAGGTCTTCGGAATAGCCAGCTCTTGTTGCATGCCTTTTTAAACACAGATTAAAAAAATATGAATTCCCCAGTCCCTATTGGTATTCTATTGGAAAGATCAGAAAAATAAAATTCTATTTGTAATGATTGATTGATCAGGGAATTTCTGCTGAAATTCAACAAATCGAGTGATTTCCAAGTGTTTGGGACTGGAGTATAAGGAAGTGGGGGAGAGGTGAGAAGTAGAGGCCGAGGGAGCAGAGACGAAGAGCTATATATGAAACACACCTCCAGCACCAATTCCCTGTAAATTAATGAGCAAACCAAAAAAAAAGTATAATGGGATTCTGACCATGGAAGCGAAGCTGGTGTTTTCTGTCAAAAAGGTTGTATTTTAATGAACTGGGAACCTGCAGAAGACGACTGCTGCTACCTCATCTCGTATACTTGGCATATCTATAACATCCGCGTATACCCCCCCCCCCCTTCCCTTCCCGTTACTGTTCTGTGTATTCGTATGCCCATTTCACCTCTGTGGGCACAAGTAGGCCTGTGAGTGTGAGTGTGTGGATCCCAGATCCTGAGCCCTTAGCCAAGAGCAAATGGCTACTTAAGAGATTATTATAATTCCAAGGGAACAAGAACAGACTAGGACTCCACTAAAAGTAGAGATTACTCGAATGGGCTGGCAAAGGTGATTTCGATGAACAGTTACAGACAAAGGACGGGCCATGGGAATTATGGCGATTAAAAAACAAAACAAAAAACAACCGTAAGCGTGTGTAGAGGAGATAGTAGTCCCCACTACCAACATTTAAATAAATGTTTTTAAAATGCTACGGGCCAGTATTTGCTCTTATCTAGATTTCTTGACGTGCATATGGTATGTAGTGTGGTTTTTATGCTTCCCCTGTACATATACATGTTTTCTTGTGTAGAATATAAATATATACAAAGTAATGCTCTTATGCACCTATTATACTGAGTGGTTGAACATTTTCTGTATACTGCTTCAGATTACAGATGGTTTAAATATGGGCTTTAAAAATAATAATCGTAATAATTTGGTTTTATTTTGTTGCTGTTGTCAAATGGCTTTTAGCTTAACACCCCCACACCCCCGACACTCGTGTGCATCTGTGCACATGGATATACAGTGTCTCACATGCTCTCCCCACACTC